CAGAGAGTTGGAAAACACATCTGTTATCAGTAGATCATTTTTACGACATTATTGCAAATATTTTGGTAATTTTAAACAAATGCTTGAACCAAAGCAGAGTTAGAAACTGTTAAGGTGACTTCTCAGACATATGATTTACCTTCATGTTCTGCTGGAGTGCAAATTGGTTCAGATTCAGTCTGGGAATTCCTTACGACACAGACTGACTAATTCCTTTAATGACACTGCATCAAGTCTTAATTTGAACCTTGGCTAAGACCTAACACCAGACAAAATGACTTCACCAGACAAAGTCTATGATTAAAGCTTGTTGTTAAAACGTTGCATCACATCAGGGTATCAACTCAAGCAAATGCACGCCTTTTCAAACATACTAACTCCAGGATACACAATTTAAAAGTTGGATCCACTCACAAAGTACACATCCTTCCCATCTGTTCTTTGAAAGCTTTAAACAAACTGCATGAGATGACCAAAAAAAGTGCAAGAGAGGCAGAAAGGGGACATTGTTACACATTCAGCCATAACGCAAGTGGTGATGCAGTTGAGGTTTATCTTTGTGGTATCATGATGGAAAGATGAGTCAATATACCCGTAAAAAGGTTTTGCTCTTCTGGTTGTTTTTCTGTTTATCACGCAAGCCTTMGTGTGGAAATGTTCACAGGATGCACATTAAAATCAGACAGGTTGGTTAGCAGAGCTAAAACCACCGGGTGACGGGTGGGATTTTTTTCCCCCGTCATTTTTACTGAAGTTAACACTAACATGATGCAAATAAAAGTCCAAACAAATCATTATTATTTTAACATAAATTAAAAAAAAAATCTTTTGTCACATAAATCCATTGGGAATTCTAAACCTAATGTGTTGAAACTGCTTATGACGCTTCAAAATAATTGTAATCTGGAAAAAAAAAGGAAAATTTGAAATTTGTCAGATTTGATTTAATCTTCAATGTTGAATTATTCTGAGCTTGATAAATAAGGTCGAAATCAGTTGTAGTTTTTCCTGGGATCTGTTAATTTTGGAACTGTYATACTGAGTTTTCAAAAACTGGGAAGGCGGGAGGCCCTCCGGTTTCATCTTTCTGCCCCCCTCCCAGGATCCAAAGCCACAGGGGGCTCCTGTTTCGTGCAGTTTAACATCTCTTGTCGACTGGTTTTCTAGAGCTTAAGAGTTTAACATGCAACCCAAATCAAAAGTGTTGACTCTATTAAAGTAGCTTAAAATCAGCTTCATAGTTGGTTCTGACATAAGGATAAATGAATTAATTAATTAAAGGGGCGATATTATGTTTCTCAGGCATACATTTAAATACTAGTAAAGTATCTATGTCAACTTTAGTTGTTATTAAAATGCTGTTTTTATGTTTAAATAGAAAATAAACATC